AAAGAGAATAAGGGAGAGAGACTTATATGGGTTGGAAACTAAACTACACAGCTTTAATGAAACAGTAGTGATGAAAAGGAAAATAATGAAATATGTAGAAATATGTACAAATATAAACAAAAGCACCACTGAGGCTGCAGAGCTGGCCCTGGGAAACTCCCAGACTGGACTCCTGGACTTAGCAGCAGATGGTAGCTGGATGCAGGAGTGCATGGATTCAGGAACACACAGATCAGGATCAGAGGCAGATGAATTAAATCCTCCCAGGCCACCAGCCATGGACGAAGAGAGTTTGACCTTTGTGATCCCTGAGATTTATACTGAGTATGATGCATATGGGATGGAATACTTTGTTTAGTCAATTTTGGTCACCTGTCTGGTTCGCTCCTCCCAAGTAATAAATAGCCAGAGGCACATGACAAAGATTTTAACCACTTAATAAGATGTGAGATGGAGCACAGTCTTTGAGCTGCTAAGAATCTGAAAGACAGTACCAGGGTTTGTCAGCCACTATCCTAGAAGGAAATAACTGATGAAGAATTGTCTCAATTACATCTGTTTCAAATGTACCATGACTGATGAATGTTACTGAAAGGTTATCATATACTTTGGACATTGTTGCAGTTTAGGCCCATCTGTTAACAACAGGCATCCGCTCACTCACCCCTCTCTCACCCACTGTGGGATAGGGAGGAGAAAATCCAACTAAAAGCTTGTGATTCAAGACAAGGACAGGAAGGATTTCACTCACCAATTATGGTCACAGGCAAAACAGACTCAGCTTGGGGAAAAAAATCAATTTAATTTATTACAAATCAAATCAGAACAGGACAAAGACAAAATAAACCAGATCTGAAATACCTTCCCACACACACACTTCTCCCTTCTTCCCAGGCCCAAATTACTTTACTCTCTACCTCCTTGATAGTCATAGGATACTCGTTAGTAGATTCAATAGAAAAATAGCCTAATAAAAATTTACTAAAATAATGAATTTGCTGCACTAAGTCAGCTGAACGGGTTACTTTTAAAACAATGTGCTTTGTGAAACTGTCAGTCAGTTATGCCAAGCATCCTGCAGGTTGTGATAACATCAAGTCTTCTAAGACCTGCAGCACCTACAGACAACACGTTGATTCTGGACTCACCTGGGCAATCTACCAGTGGGAGGCTGGAGACAGGACCAGGACAGGAGACAGGACAAAGATGACAAAGGACTAGAATCAACAAAGACACTCCCCCCTCCCCCCCCCCCCCCCCCCCCAGCCATATTGTTTATCTCAGATCCATTTTTGCTGCTGTTATTTTCAGTTTCATCCTTCCAGTACCTCAAATGCTGCTACTTCACTTCCTTTGAAGTCCCTCCTTACAAGCTCACCTGTGTGGTGCCTTATAAGTATTGGAGCACTCATGATGGAGAATCCCCAGTGCTGCCCAACGCTGCAATAAAGAATGCCTGCTCAATAACAGCTTGCTTGTTGTTATTGGGTCTTAATCTCGGAATCCTTACCCAGCCGCACCCAGCCTCCCACTGCGGTGAGGCGTGTTAGAAGCTCCAAATTTTGTTTCAGCTTTGGCAACACAGATGGGACATTCTCTGCCCGGCTGCAGGAACCTCCGAGTTGGCGACCCCCTAGGCTGGCCCCAGAGAGTTCTCTGGAGGGACTCACCGATTCGGCGGATCCTCGGGGGAACAAACAAGGACCTCTGATAAGTATAAGAACAAGGCATTCTTTCTGTTTTGGGACCGGTCATTTTGAAGGCTGCCCCGCAAGCCGCAGTTCCTGAGAACCCCGCAGGGTGGCGTACAAGTGCAGGCACGACTCTTACTGATCATTTAGTCAATTGTGCATTTGTATCTGATGGCCGTTTACATATGTGTATAACACTTGTAAATGTTTGATATACGCGTATTTGGGAATCTTTTATTGATAACCCCTACATAGGGTTAGTGAATGATATTGTATTGAAATTGTATTTGTAATAGGTTCAGCACATGTGAGTGTGCTTTTGGTTCAGCATTGATTTCCTGGCAATCTGACTTGGCAAATGTTATTTTACATTGTGAACTTGGTAAATGTTATCTGGATATTGAGTTATTATTGGCAATATTGATTTTCGGTTTGGGACTGTTAGTAGGAATTGCATTGTTTTATTTTATGGGAATGGTTGAAAGATTTGTGAATTGGGTGTCTTGAGTGACTGAGATGCAGTGTAACTGTGAAGTGAGTGAAACTAATGTTTTGGAAAGCTTAATTGTTTTAATTGCTTTATGTTGTTGCTGTAAGAAAATTCCTGCATGTTGCATTATATAATGGGGAGCAGCAGAGTGGAGGAGTTTTAAAGAAAAGTCCTGTGGGTTGCATTTTAGCCCACTGGAAAGAGATAGAGGGACCATCGGGTGGAAGTGTGGATAAGAAAACTTTGATAAAATACTGTAATCAGTAGTGGCCATTGTATAAGTTGGAAGATGAGGAGAAGCGGCCTTTTAATGGAAATTTGAATTATAATACCTTATCATAGAATCATAGAATCTTAGGGGCTGGAAGGGACCTCGAAAGAT